GAAGACTGTACTAGAATTTCGTCTAAATTCTGTAATAATTTTCGAAGCTGTTTCTTTGTTCTTACGAAAACTACAACTTGGTATTTCCCAAAGAAAGGAATTGGAACCTTCCTTCTCTCTTCACATAGTTTCACAATTTAGTGTTATGAAGAGCGTGCCAACTCTGACCAAAAGAAGACGGGTTGAGGCCATCAGCACAGGGGGAGGTGGAAGGCTGTAGAGAATACTATGGGCGTGATATGTGTATGTGGCTGAGTTAGGGGCATTAAGAAGAGGGAAGAAAGAGAAGGCTATTAAAGGCCCAAGGGAGACGGATTTATCTCTCCTTTCGTGAATGATTATGATTTTTGGTATTTGGAGATGGTAAACTAGAGAGATAAATAAGAGATTATGGCCTGTTGTTGTTTTTTAAATTAGGGTTTACACTAACTGAATACTTAGAGCATCTTGAGTTTGGGAAATTCAACTTTTTTTTTCTTCCTTGCAGATTGCCAGAAGGTCCTGACGCTCTACGGGATGTCGAATTTGGTGAACGAGGAGGAAAACTCTCTGGACTTCATGGACCCTTACCAGAGGGACTCCCGCAGCATCATCTGGGAGAAAGTCATGAAGGGCGACTTCAAGCTGCCATCTGGCAAGACTTTCTACCCTAACGACCCATCATCGGCCGATGATGAAGGTGATTATCTTGATTTTTCATTGTCTATGACTCTCTCTTCTCTTGCCTGACTCTTGCGGTTTTGAATCTTTTAAAAGAGGTTCCGATTTTTTGTAAATATCATTATTATTGATAATGATAATGATAATAAATAAAAATAATAATATAATAAACATTATAATATATTACTGTTATCATTATCATCATTACCACAATTTTCATTTTACCTTCTGAATATAGCTCTGACATAGTATATATCGATCTACGAAGCATCGATTCTTCCTTTTACCTGTTTCATGTCTTCTAATCACATTTTTTCATATTCCAGATTATGAGCTCGTGAACGAGGTGCGCGACAGCTCGTATCCTTCCAGCCTTTCCTTCCACAAGAACGCCAACGACCCCCACCCGTACGCCGTTCGCGTGCCCGCCCCCGTCAAAGTAGCTGCCGCCCACGCCCACACCCAAGCCGTTGGCCAGGTCGGCGGCATCTCCAGCAGCCACCCGTACGCCGTCCGAGTGGCCCCCGAGGCGACGACCCGCAGCCCGCAGCCCGTCGGCATCAAGGCCAGCGCCGACTTCGAGCCCATGATGAGCGAATCGAGACCCGCCCCCGCCCTCATCCAGCGCCTCTTGCCACATCCCTCCGCCTCCTCCTCCCACGGCAGCGGCAGCAGGACAAGGCTCTTACGGTCCATACGCTCCTCGGAGTTGTTCCCCGAGGAGGAGATGCAGGACCTCGTCAGGCTCGTCTTGAAGAAGTGAAAGGCCTCGGGGAAGGTCGTCCGGATCTGACCCAGTACCTCTGTCGCCGACGAAGCCATTGTACAACCACGCGAGGGGCGGGAGGAGAGGAGTCCCCAGAGGGCCTCGGTGAGCTCCGGTGACTCGAGACGAAGGGGCGCGCGGACGAAGGGCGGAATCAGGCCAGACCGCGATGATGCCAATGCTTTAAGAAGACACACAGACGAGTAAGTCCTGCCAAGGGAGGACACGTGTTCCAATTATAAGAGGCTTTTAGACTATGCTTTATTCGTATTTAAGCGGCGAGTCTGCCAGTGCGTGTGTGTATATATAACTGTAAATATTATTTATATAGAGTGTCTATCTAGTCAAGGACAGGGCGTCCGCCTTTGAGGGGTAAAGTGAAAAAAATCAGAAACGAGCAGCGTGAAGAGCTCTCCTGCAGGTCCCCAGAAGTCCATTTCCTGAGACCCCGAAGAGATCCTTCGTCAGAACTAAGATGAAAGATATCGCTTTCGGCAGCTACAATATTTTGGTCTGAAGAAGATTAAGAGTGAGGAGTCCACGCTAGGAAGCATTTTTTAAAATTTGTTTTTCCTATCATTATTTTTTTTTCTAAATCAACGCTCTCGAAGTCGGTTCCCCTGTCCGAAGCCAACTGGAATATCAGAGCAGGTGTCCACAACAGTCTTCCCAACAACAACAGCACCATAACAGCAGCTGTGGAAGGCGGATGCTGCTCCATACTCCAGCCTTCAATATGGTTTTCGAAACATGATAAAACGACAAACCATATGAAGAGAGATCGAAGACTTGCTTCTTCTGTCAAGATAAAATCATATAAGCAAGAAGAATAACCTCAAAGAAAACAGAACTCAAAGAAATAATCATTATCATTGGCTATTCTCACAATAATATTTGAGAAAAATCTTGTTATCGTTGTTATTAAAATGATCTCCATTTAGGTCCATCCCATACATCACTGTTTATTGTTATCTCTGTTCTCTTCTTCACGATTTCATAGCATATCATATCCATCTACCATTTCTTAATGTATTTGTAAATAATGTACAAATAAATCATTTGTTATGAACTCTACCCTGAGAGATATTTACCCTTATTGAAATTCGAATAATTTCATTATAGATACATACAATACATACATACATATGCATACATACATACATATGCATACATACATACATATCTATCTATATGAATATGTATGTATATACGTATATGCTTACAAGTTTCAGATGACAAAAAAGTAGTTGCATCATTAGTATCACTTTCCTTTTTTTTTTTTCCAAATAAGAGCTATATTTGTTTTATTCACGATCCTAAGTTAGCTGGTCACACGATTATATATATTAGAGAAAGTATCGCTGCACGCTATCAGGTTTCTAACTTGAGTAATAGATCAACGGTATAACATTAATATATGGACACGGATTAAATCATGAAAAGGAAATACAACGTGAGGAATGATAAAGGCAAAGAGAACTAAAGCAGAATCTGCGGGGCTTGATTAATTTAATTGAGGACGATAATGACTGAGACACCTGAACAAAACACTCTAATTAAGAGAACAACGAAGAGGTAATGGCAGGCCGATCAGCGCCACGAATCTGGTTTAGTTCCAGCGTGTTTGTTTGTTTGGACAAGCCTGGTTTGGCTTTGGTGTCATGGTTCACCTTTTTTGTGGTCTGGAGTTAGTTTATATTAGTTCCACCATCAGCATTTACTCCCCCCCCCTCCCCTTTCTCTCCCGCCCTTATTCTATCCCCCATCCCCTTATGATACTGATAAAGATATGGCAATGGTAATAATACGTCTAATGATAATGAAAATAAAAATTACAGCAACATTACTCTCTCGACCCAGTGAAAGGCGGGGCACCTTCCATAAGGAAATCTTTGGCCTCATAGTAGTAGTAATAGTTGTAGTAGTAGTAGTAGTATTTGTATTAGTAATAGTCGTAATAACAGAAAAAGTAGTAGTATCAATGGTAGTAGCAGTAGTAGTAGTAGTGGACGGTGTAGTAATAGTAGTAGTACTAGGAGTAAAATAGCAGTATCAGTGGTAGTAATGATAGCAGTAGTAGAAGTAGTATCAAAAGTATTAATAACAATATTATTAGCAGTAGAAGTAGTAGTAATATTATTATCATTACTAGTAATAGAAGTAGTAGTAACGATAGTAATAGCAACAGCAGCAGTATTCGTATTATTAGTAGTGGTGGTAGTAAAAGTAGTATTGATAGTAGTGATAGTAGTAGTAGTAGCACGAAGTATTTTCATTATTATCATTACCTAGTAGTAGTAATAGCAGTAGTAATTTAGAAGAGGGAAGGCACTCCCGAGTCTTGTCTTGGCTTCCCTGGCTCTTCCCTAAATTAGCGAAGATCCTTTTCGTCTTTCTCTTCTCTCTTTTTCCGCAAGAGAAACCTCTTCCTGGGCGACTGTCTCGCGGCCGAAGAGGCGATGTGGCTCCGTCTGATGATGAATGGTCTCGATGGCTTCCGGTGTTCACTGAGCCGTCTGGTTTGCTCTCGTTTCTCGGCTCCTGGTTTGGTTTCGCTTCTCGGCTCCTGGTTTGGCGCTTCTCGGCTCCTCTGTCGCTTTTCGGCTCCTGGTTTGGTTTCGCTTCTCGCTCCTGGTTTGGTTTCGCTTCTCGGCTCCTGTTTGGTTTCGCTTCTCGGCTCCTGGTTTGCGCTTCTCGGCTCCTGGTTTGGTTCGCTTCCGGGCTCCTGGTTGGGGGCTCCTCGCCTCTCGCTCCTGCTGTCGGATTGGCTCCGGGCTGGTTTGGTTTCGCTTCTCGGCTCTGTTTGGTTTCGCTTCTCGGCATCCTTCGCTTGGACGGCTTCTCGGGCTTCAGCCTCACGGGGTCCGGGTCCTGCTTCTCGCTCCCATTCTTAAGTTGGCAAAACGTCAATCGCTCCTGGTTGGCTCTTGCTTCTCGGCTCCTCCCCTCAAAGGCGACGTCAACGCTCTCTAAGCAATTCGCAAATTCTGCTGACTCATGCCAATTACGAACCTTCACCCTATTCTCTGTCTTTCTGCCCCTCCCTCCCTCCCTTCTTCCCTCCCTCCCTCCCTCCCTTCCTCCCTCCCTCCCTCCCTCTTCTCAGTCTTACCTTTATTTATGTATGCTGTACTCTTCTTTTTCCTCACTTTCCTTGCTCTCTCTCTAATTTCATTTTTCTTGCCCATTGCTTCCGCCACCCCATTCTATATCATTTATTTCCTTCTCTCCCTATTCCTCATATTCATTCTACTTAACCCCGCAATTCTGTCCTCGTTTACCAACCTTTTCTCTCTTCCTTTTCCAATCCTCTGTCTTTCTCTCCTCTTCCATTCCTCCCTTTTTCCTGCTATTTCCCTGCTCTACTTCAGATCTCCCTCCTGCTCATCCATCCTCCTCCTTCTCCTCTTCCCTCCCCTCCTATTCCCACGCTCCTCTCATTTCTCTCCTCCATCATCATCCTCATCCAACTCTCCATCTCCTCCTCATCCAAATTCTCTTCCTCTTCCTTTTTTAATGTTCCCTTCGTCCTCCTTCTATTCCAGTCACCCCATTTCTCTCCTCTTCTTCCAGGTCTTCCTTCTACCTTCTCTGCTTATCACCCTCTCTCTGCTTCTCATCCAGTCCTTCCCTCTGCCAGTCTTTCCCTCTTTTTCCATCTATTCCAACTCCCTCTCTCCATCCTCTTCCAGTTCCTCTCTGTCCTCCTCTTCCTAATCCACTTGCAATTCTTCCGATCTTCCTCCTTCCCTTCCAGTTCCCTCCCTTTCCTCCTCTTCGGACTCCTTCTCTCCCAGTCCTCTACCTCTACTTTCTTTTACTCCTGCATTCCCTCTTCTCACCCCCCCCTTTCTCCGCCGCAGATTGGAATTGAAAGTGATCGTGTGTGATCCCGCGATGGATCAGGGCGTCTTGTGAGATAAGGCTTATCAGCGAGCGAAGACGAATAAGCATATCTTGGTGGTCAGGAATGTGGCAAGCCCCTGCACGACGGGGAGGCCTGCTTGGGTTTGGAAGGCGCATGGACACGCGTACACACGGACAGGTATATATACACATACATGCATACATATATGCACACACACACACACACACACACACACACACACCACACACCACACATATACACACACACACACACACACACACACACACACACACACACACACACACACACACACATATATATATATATATATATATATATATATATATATATATATATATATATATATACTACATACACATATCATATATATATATATATATATATATATATATTATATATATATATATATATATATATATATATATATATATATATATATATATGTGTGTGTGTGTGTGTGTGTGTGTGTGTGTGTGTGTGTGTGTGTGTGTGTGTGTGTGTAGATAGATAGATAGATAGACAGTATATATATGTATATACGTGTGTGAGTGTGTGTTGAATATATTTATGTATGTATGCATGCGTATGAGTGTGTGTGCGTAAAACATCCCTTATACACAAACACATATGCATATACATTCACACATGTACAACCAATTTCGGGAATAATGATGTCACACAATCGCAGATACGCACATCATTTTGCTATGAAAAGTTCTGTCCTTATCTGACGATCCCATATGAATGGTAGCCTCTCCCTCTGTCCTACTCTTATATTCTCTCCCTATTTCTCCTTAGAGAGAGAGAGAGAGAGAGAGAGAGAGAGAGAGAGAGAGAGAGAGAGAGAGAGAGAGAGAGAGAGAGAGAGAGAGAGAGAGAGAGAGAGAGAGAGATAGTTCCTGCCATTGAGTTTCTCTCACCCTTTCTCTTTCTGTCTGCCAGTGCCTCTCTTCCCGTTTTTCTTCATATCTTTCTCTCTTCCTGATAACCCATATCATCACACACTGGTCCTGTATATGATGTGCTGGCCGTTAGCTCTCGCTCTTGGACAACCTCTCCATATACATACAAGCACACGCACACACACACACACATATATATATATAATATAATGTACATATATTTATATCTATATACATATACTGAGAGACACTTCGGACACCTTTTTCGGTGGATGTCCGCCATCCGCCGAGTCGTCATCGGCTCTGATTGGCTACTTTGCGAGACAGCTCGACTGTGATTGGCTGACGGGCAATGTTGGAACTCCAAGTCCAGCTCTCCGGAAAGGGTATCCGAAGTGTCTCTGAATATGAACTCATATCTATCTATATTATCTATATTATCTGGAACTCCAGATCCAGCTCTCTGTAAAGGATATCCAAAGTGTCTGAATATGAACTCATATCTACCTATATTGTCTAAATTATCTGGAACTCAAGGTCCAGCTCTCCGTAAAGGGTACCCGAAGTGTCTGTGAATATGATATATCTATCTATATTATCTATATCATCTATCTGCATTATCTAACTGAATTATCTGCAATTATATATCATCTCAACTGGGGTGTTGACAACTCGCTGTGTCAGCCACTTCTGTACCTTCGTCACTGGCCAAAAGACTCTTCAAGGTAGAATGAACAATCCTTTTCAGTGGAAAGGGAAATGCCACCAAGTATAATTGGATGATAAGGATTAGGAAAAACAATTAGCAAAACATTGTCTGTTTGTAATTTATTGTATTTGTGGAAAAAAGTCTATTAATATTTGCAAATTACAGCAATGATGAATTAGAAGCCCTAACACCAACCCTCAGATTGAAATATTATTACCAAAAGACTAACATTATTCCCAAAAGACTAAAGCATCAGAAGTCAACAGAAACGTATCCTTTGACACTGAAACCGGATGCCTGTTCAAACAATGCTTTGTAGAATTCCTTACTCGTTGTTATTAGACACCTCTTTGCTTTTGATATTTACAGAGAAAAAGAAAAAGGAAATCCTAAATTTCGTTATTAAAATTGTATCAGAAGTACATTTATTCGTCTTATGTTCAGTGAGATTATACAAAGAACCTGTTAGAAATATGTTCCTACATTTCTACGTCTCTCTTTCTCTCCCCCCTCTCTCTCTCTCTCTCTTCTCTTCTACTATTATCTCTATATATATATTATATATATATATATA